CTTTTCATATTTTAATCAAATGTATCATTAGCAAGAGTACCTCTAAATACTAATATCACCAGTACTTTTCAAACGAAGATTACAGAGCCAATTATTAATGCTTTCATTGATTCTACAAATATAGAGGTTATTGATTCCTGCTCTTTGTATCAGTGCGTGTGGTGTTCCCCAACTTTGATCACTGTTCTTTGCGCAAGGTTCTTAAACCTTACAGAGGTAATGATAAAACTTTGTTTTTCTGTGGGTTTTTTTTTTTCCTGTGTATTTTGTTTTCCTTTAGCTGAAAAGAACTTAGTTAAAATTTGATGTTTTGGGTGCCCTTATATAGTGAATGAATCCTGCACAGCAGACCTGTTTATCATTAAGTCCCCTAATCATTTAGCTGAGCAGTACTTGCTGTTTTTGATTCTAACTGTCATACAGATGGTCTGTAGCCTTAGTGGACCCAAAGAGCAGTTTAAAGAAAGTTAAGGACCATAAAGTGCAACTGTGTAAATTTACAGAAGTAATTAGCACTCTTCCTGTAAATTATGTTATCAGAACAACTGTTTATAGTCATATCCAGTTTGGTTTCTCCCAGACTAGTCAAGGGAACGGTTGTGGAGGGGTGCCTACAAATAACAATTAGAAATTGTTTCTTAATTTAGAAATAAAACACAAATTATAAGAATTTCACTAGTGGATTTATTTTAAAGGTCAACAGTAAATTTCACGTCATGAAAACGGGGGGTTTGAAGGTGAATATTGATATATCATAGCTTTATTTTAATTGAAACCGGAATTAAACATGTTACAGTCATGAGGGGAAGGCTTCCCTAGTAACTCAGACAGTAAAGAATGTGGGAGGGTTTGATCCCTGGTTTGATTCCTGGAGTAGGAAATGGCAACTTACTCCAGTATTCTTGCCTGGAGAATTCCATGGACAGAGAATCCTGGCAGACTACATATAGTGTGCTACTGCTACTGCTAAGTCACTTCAGTCGTGTTTGACTCTGTGCAACCCCATAGACGGCAGCCCACCAGGCTTCCCCGTCCCTGGGATTCTCCAGGCAAGAATACTGGAGTGGGTTGCCATTTCCTTCTCCAGTGCATGAAAGTGAAGTTGCTCAGTCGTGTCTGTTTCTTAGCGACCCATGGACTGCAACCTACCAGGTTCCTCCGTCCATGGAATTTTCCAGGCAAGAGTACTGGAGTGGGGTGCCATTGCCTTCTCCGATATATAGTCTATGAGGTTGCAAAGAGTCGGACATGACTGAGTGACTAATGCTTCATAGTCATTTTTAGCACTTTTCCTCTAGGTAATTAAAGGCCGCAGTCGACTCATTCATAAAATAAAACTAAGATTTTAAGAAAATACGTACTATTAAAATTTTATTATGGTAAAGTTTAGAATTTTTTGGTTATTACATTATATGTTTAAAAGAATTGTATACTATAGTCTTCAGTAATAAGTTTCTAAAGAGTATAATGTTCAAAGATGCCAATTACTGAAGGCCTTGATTTTTTAATAATTTTTATTTATTTATTTTTAACTGTTAGGTCTTAGTTGCAGTGCATGGAATCTTTCCTTGTGGCACGTGGGCTCTGTAGTTGCAGCATGTGGGCTTTTAGTTCCCTGACCAGGGGTTGAGTCCACATCCGCTGCATTGGAAGGCAGATTCTTAACCACCAGGGAAGTCTGGAAGACTTTGATTCTTGAACAGTTTCTTTAATTCTGGTATTCATGAGTATCAGTAGTTGATAACTCTGCTCATCCAGTGTACTGCTTCATCCACACAAGGCCGGGTAGATAAATGTTGTAAAACTCCTTTTCTTTGTAGAAAATTTGTACAGCATAATGTTACGTAACGGTTGTGTTGATATATTGGGAAACTTAAAATTGAAGTTGTATAAGTTGCAGATTGTTGTAAATTGAAGCATTCACAGAATTTTAGCAGACAGTTTGAGGGAGTGTCTGACATCTTAAAGCCCCCAAATATAGTAGCCTATAAAATCTGACCCTTTTGTAGGAAAATCAAAGGTAATCAGGAAGAAACTTCATCTTGAGATTTTTCTGTTGCAAATGAAAAATAATATAGTGGGAGAAAAATATTTCCTAACCCTTGAATGAAATTATAATGAGATTGTGTGTTTAAACTGAATTTGATGTCAGTATTGTAAGGGGGGTGGTAATCTTAATAGATTGCCTAAATCTATCCAATTTTTAGGACCAGAAACAGTTATGGTTCATTAAGTAAACCTTCTGGAGAATATAGGTTTTTGCCAATACTTTATTCTAGTTGTTTCTACTTTGATAGTAGTTAAGATGTATTACTAATCAGGTTTTCTGAGGCCAGAGGTCGCTGTGTTACATTTAGTCATTGAAGAAGCTTGCCTTTGAATGCCTGTATATTAATAAAGGCATTGTAATGCTCATGTTTTAGCTTGGAGATTAGGGTAGAGGGTTTTGTTTTTTTTTTTTTTTTTTGTCTTCTCTGTTAGATTATTAGCTAATGTGTGTCCAGAAGTGTTTTGCTTTATTTAAAATGATATTTTAGTTGTCTTTTTATCTTGACTAGATTTTATACCAACACTTAGTGTCCAGGTTCTGAACTCAGTGAAGTCACAATTCTCTTTTAAGTGTTCAGTGCTTGTTCTCTAGTAACAGTGTAACTTTCATGAAGACTTTTTAATGGCTTGGGCTTTATAATTGGAGAATTCAGCTCTTTGATTACCTCCTGTGATTTACTGTATAAGTTTCTTGTGGGGGAAGTGGTTACTTTGTTTGTACCTGGTTCTTGAAGCTATTATAGGAAGCTTCCTATTTAGTCTATAACCATAAAGATTATTTCAGTAGGTGTGGTTTTTCTCTTCCTCTTTTCTCTTTCTCATGTTTTCACATTGATGAGCTTTGGCATCTTATAAGGCATGGTCTACTTAAACTTCCTTGGAGGAATCTTTGTGAGTTTTTTGAGAGCCCATTTTTGCTTAAGCAGCAGTTAAGTTCTGTGACCCTAAAAGCCCTTCAGCATAACCAGTTGATCTTTTAAAGTACATTTTTCTTCAGAGAACTAAAGTGTTTGACTTCCTTTGTGTTCATGATGCTATTACATAAATCAAAAATATACACTGTGTTTCTTCATTTTTGTTACAGCGATATATACCCTGGTAAGATGAAGTAGTATGGTTCAAAAAAGAAATTAGTGCCTTAGAGCGTAGGGAATCTGGAATGGCTAGTTCATTGGTTTGGAGACTGATGCCAGTGAGTGAATGGGTTGGAAGGTAGGTTAGATCTCTAAATTTAACAGGGCTCAGGCATGAGCTGTTTCATGCCTAAAGGTGTGGTAACTCACTTTTTTACTCCCAGAAATTGTACAGAGTATCACAAAGGAAAGTAGCTTCCAAAGACTGGTATTTTATAGTTTCTGGATCATTATGCTTTGGAAAATTTGGGGCCAAAAGACAAACAGCTTTATGTAAAAATGGAAGAAAGTGGTTACAATAAAAAGTTACTAAGTAGCTCTTTTGGTAATTCCCATAAATGGATTAAAACTGACACACAGCTCAGTTAGTACTCTTCTACTGAGAAGAAACCTCTGCAGAAGCATGAGCCTATTTCTGAATCAGAATTTTAAACTTTCCTATTTGCTAGGATTCAGACTTCCTTATTGGACTTAAAACAAGGCATGACTGTTTTAAAAACTTAGCAAGGGTTGATTGTTTGGCACATGGGAAATCAGTAACTACTGTGTTTCAAGAGGAAGGGTATAGGGTGGTCAGTACTAAAATCTTTAGGATTAATAGTAAGTTATTCCCTCACTTACTTGGCAGTACACACATACTCTTAAATTAGGAAAATGTTCCTGTCATACCTGCTTGCCTTGTTAAAACAGAATAGAAACATTTTTATATTGTTAAGGTTGAGCAGAAGGAAGAATTGTTTGTGAGACTGCAGAATCAATGTTCTCACTGCCAGGATTGGAGACTGTTACAAATTCAGAGAAAACTAGCCACTGATGAGGTGTATAAGAGGGAGATGCATCACATTATATATGGGTTTTAAAATTTCAACGCTTTGAAGTTAGGCAGGGGAATAGTTGGTGGATTGTTCTTGGCCTTGGAGTCAATAGCTAAAATGGTTCAGAGCTAGAATTACTAGTTTTTTTCCTACTGGTACGTCTTAACGTATGCCCTACAGGCTTTTGTAAAAAGAACAAGATGAAAAAGACTTTTTGGAACTACTGTACTTGTGGGAAGGTTTTTGTTGTATTTTTTTCTCTTTACAAATGTACCATGCCATCACTTTGGTATATCTTTAGCAGTCACAGGAATACTTACTTACTCAGTGGAAGCAGCAATTGAAAAATCTGTAAGTTTGGAGAGCTAAGTGTGTGCTGGGCAATGAATTTAGGCACTAGTGAATAGTGAACAAGATAGACAATATCCTCTGTTGGAGCTTTGAGTGGAGCTTATGCTAAATGTTGTTAGAATTGATAATGGTATGTACAACCAGCTAACACATATGAAGTGCCTGTTTATATAGGCCAAAAGCAGTTAATCATGGAAGTTTTATATGGTTCAGCCTAATACTACAAACTAGTGATAATTATTTGTATGTTTCTGTGGGTGAAAATGCCAGGGATTTAGCTAATAATAGCTCTGTTTGCAAAGTTGGTTCATTGCAGTCATTTGTGAGTACTTTATTTGCTTATAATATTGTAGTACATATATGAAAGGAATAAGATCAAAGGCAAAGGCTATTCACTGTAAAAAGTAAGGTTCTATCAGTAATGCCATTGTACACAGGAACCTTTATGTCCAGAGCTTAAGGCAACCATTGTATGTGTATGTGTGCAGTTTCAGTATTAAAAAGAATAAACTGGCCTTTTGAATGAAATTAACCTAGCAAAAAGAAGTGATTGCTAGATGATTGACAATAACATATCATTTTATAAGGAAGCAGTTGTTGGAATCTTCCTGACCTAGTTGTGAAGAAATTCTGTTTTCCTTTTATCCAATAGGATGTACAGTTACCCAGCACGTGTTCCTCCTCCTCCTCCTATTGCTCGGGCTGTAGTGCCCTCAAAACGCCAGCGTGTATCAGGAAACACCTCACGAAGGGGCAAAAGTGGTTTCAATTCTAAAAGTGGACAGCGGGGATCTTCTTCTAAGTCTGGAAAGTGTAAGTATTATTACTGCAGCTTTCTTGTTCTGATATTTCTTACATGTTGAAATTCAGAGATCAGCGCAGTTAATAATATTAAAAATTTTTATAATGTTTGTACAAATAACTTTGTGTAATCGAATAATGGAAGATGAGAAAATGGTGATTAAGGGGCCAGCTCTAGGCAGTCTTCTGTCCGTAAGGCCTTGGTAATTTGAAAAAGTCATTAGATTTTAAGGAGTTGCAACACCTATTCAGTGTATAAAAATAGTGTTGCTAAAACTAGAAAATGCTTTAAAATAGAATTGAGGGTTTTTTTTTTTTAAGCAGGCTTACAAAAGTAATAATGCTGCTGCTAAGGGAATAGATTCATTAGATTCAGTTTTCAGCTAATAATCAAAAAGATTAGTGACACCCCGCCCGCCCCACCCCATTACTAGGACAGTCTGGTATAGATAGGCTCCATTTTCTCTCCAAGGATCTCATGTTGACTACTGTTGTATAGTCTAGAAGGGGAATGTGTTTGGTTATCTGGTAGCTTCTGGTACATTTTATTTTAATCTAGGTTTTTGTTTGTTTTAAAAGTGAAAGGAGATGACCTTCAGACCATTAAGAAGGAGTTAACCCAGATAAAACAAAAAGTGGATTCTTTACTGGAAAGCCTGGAAAAAATTGAAAAGGAGCAGAGCAAACAAGGAGGTAAGCGGTCCTGTCGTTTGTTGGGTGTGAAGTAGAGCTAGTTACCTAAGCTAGTTACAAGTATATGTTGAAATAGTGGGGTATAAAGCAACTGAATATGAAACTTGTGGCATTTGAATTGGGAAGGGCATTTTGTGGGAGGATTTAGATTTGTGCTGCAGTTCTATGATCTGTTAGTGGGGATTGTCTACATCCTGTGGACATTACTTGCCCCTAGACAGACTTGTCCTTCTCATCCCCAGTAGAGATGAAGAATGATAAGTCAGAAGAGGAGCAGAGCAGCAGCTCCCTGAAGAAAGATGAGACTAATGTGAAGATGGAGTCTGAGGGGGGTGCAGATGACTCTGCTGAGGAGGGGGACCTACTGGATGATGATGATAATGAAGATCGGGGGGATGACCAGGTGAAAACCACGGGAAAGGAAAGAAAGAGGTGGTGGAGGGGGGGTCAGGGACACATGGAGTGCCTCTAACTCCATCCTGTTTGTGTCTGTTTCTCACAGCTGGAGTTGATCAAGGATGATGAAAAAGAGGCTGAGGAAGGAGAGGATGACAGAGACAGCGCCAATGGCGAGGATGACTCTTAAGCACATAGCGGGGTTTAGAAATCTTGTCCCATTATTTCTTTACCTAGGCGCTTGTCTAAGATCAAAATTTTCACCAGATCCTCTCCCCTAGTATCTTCAGCACATGTTCACTGTTCTCCCCATCCTTGTCCTTCCCATGTTCATTAATTCATATTGCCCTGCGCCTAGTCCCATTTTCACTTCCTTTGACCCTCCTAGTAGTTACGTTAAGTCTTACCCTGTAATTTTTGCTTTTAATTTTGATACCTCTTTATGACTTAACAATAAAAAGGATGTATGGTTTTTATCAACTGTCTCCAAAATAATCTCTTGTTATACAGGGAGTACAGTTCTTTCCATTCATACAATAGTTGCTTCCCTAACTACAAAGGCAGTCTCATTAGTTGAGTAGAACCTGAGAGCAGCTTTGAGTTAGAGGTATGTGTGTTATACCCCACATAAGAGTGCTATGTGGGGCTGTTCAACACAAATGTAACAATGTATTTTTGTGAATGAGAGTTGGCATGTTAAATGCATCCTCTAGAAAAATAACTAGTGTAATAGTCTTAAGATTTGTTTTCTAAAGTTGATACTGTGGGTTATTTTTGTGAACAGCCTGATGTTTGGGACCTTTTTTTCTCAAAATAAACAAGACCTTATTAAACCAGGAATTTGGAGAAAAATAAATACCCTGATTTTTTTATTTTTGTATTTTATAATTGTTTACTTCAAATTCTTTGTTTCACAGCAGCCTTCACAAAACCCCTAGAATGTACTAGATATATTTATCTTTGAGTCATAATTATCATGCATACCAACATACACTTCAACTTAGGTTTCATTGGGGTGGGTGTTGAATCACAGAGACAAGTATTCGGATTGAAGTGGAGATTTGTTTGCAAAAATGGCTTTTAAAGCCTAATGAAAAAGTTTGGGAACTTCCTTAAGCCTTTTCGTCAATGTTTTGTGATCCAGTTGGCACCTTTTTTGAGATTTTTGTTGTGTGCTGAATTGTTTCATCCTTAAGTAGAAGAGGTTCAAATATGTCAAGAGTGAAACAGCTGGAGAACGAAACTTGCTTTTCTTCCATTTTGTTTTTTAATTGCTGTTTATAGTCCCAGTTACTGAATGGATTCCGAGTCTGTGCCTGTCAGTCACAGACACTGACACTGCCCGAGTAGGTGTTTACTGAAAATTGTAGAGCTCTCTTTTCCTGGTCTTCTGTAGTCTGTTCCTTCCTACAAAACTGCGAGGACAGAGTCACACATTTATTTTACTTTCAGTGAATTCAGTCCATTTAATTACAGGCATGGTAGTAATGAGCACCCAGACTTGGACTTGTTAAACCGCTTTCAGGTTTGTGATGCTTGCCTTGTCCTGAAAGGCCCTTTTTATTTATGTTTCATGCTTCAGTTTTTCTGGCAGGACAGGACAAAAACATGGTTAGTTTGGGCTGTTAAAACTTATGCAAACCTTGGATTCCCCAGAAAGTTGCAACTGTTTCAAAGGCATTTATATACAACTTGGTAGGGACAGAAGTCATGTCCTATTCATAAAGGTTCCATAAATCATTTTATATAACAGGTGACAAAGTAGAATAGAAGGGAAAGGCTGAACTGTGGTCTGCCCTTGTATCTCATATCACTGTATACAAGTAGGTTTTGTTAGATACCTTGGCCAAAAATACTTCTAACTACCTTGTTTTATATGTTCTCATATGTTACACAAACTCAGAATTTAGCACATAACTGATGACAAGAAAATAAACTAGATCCTTAAAAGAAGGGTCAAATTTCTAGGTCAAAGTTCTAAGATGCTAATAAAAGCTGTTTTGAGATTGCTAGCCATCAGTATTTTAAAATACTGGACCACTTAGCCCAGGCATGGAAGTGTCTGTTTTTCATTCCATATGAAACCAAATATTGAAAACCTATGGAAAGCTCAATACAAAGTAAAATACAGTGTTGCATTTGCTTGGAAATAAAATTTAGAATAATGGGTTTTTTCAGTATACCATGAAATCTGATACCCTTGAAGCTTTAGGGTACTTTGATTTAGAAATCAATTTTTTAAATGTACTTTTTCTGAGAACACATAGCTGGCCTGTGACCACACTGACTGACCATTGTTTAGTGGATAAGTTGTGTCCACTTCTTGGCGACCCCATGGACTGATCACTGATGAACTAATTTTATTTTCAGGAGAGAACCAGGATGCATCATTACTGACTATAACCTGGGAGAATGAAGGACTTAGCCACATTAAAAAGTTCTGTACAGTTGACCTTTTTATTTAATAGGAGGAAAATTCAGCTGCACCAGTATAAAGTGGGGTTTGAATTTTGGGACCCTAGTTAAGATCACCTTGACCAAGAAAATGCATTTCAGTTGAATTCAGAGGGGTCAAAGAAAAAGTAGTACCCTGATTACTTGTAGAAACTAGTTAACAGGAGTAAGCATGTGTGACATAGAAATGAGGGTGATGAGTAAATCATATATAATAATGCAGAATGGGGATACTAAGTAACTTTAAAGAGTCTCACTTGCTTTATCAGTTCTGTAACTCAGAGAACAGGTATTTCTACTGTGATGTTTGAATAATAAGGGACATTATGTTGGAGGATATTTAGTGTTTGGAGAAACATTAAGGATAAAATAAAAATCGGGCTAGTTAAACTGTAGAGAAAAGGCTGGGTATAGATGGCTACCTGACTGGAATGGCAGAATTCTAAATGCTTAGAGAAGAGATTAAACTAGGGGTTTCGAAGGTTCCAAGTTATTCTAATTTTTATTAATCAAATTAATCAAGGAGAAAGCCTCAGAACAGTAGCTGGTTGTGTCAGTAACTTTCAAGTTTATTAAAAAAAATTGTAGAACCCCAGTTATGAAAAGCGGGACCTATTTAGAGAGTGTTAAAGAATTAAAAGTCCTATTGTGAGCTAGAGTGGGACTCTTTCCCCCACCACTTGAATTAAAACTACAAGGCAGGTTAGGAAGAGAGAAGGGATAATGTAATGAGGAATATGCCAAAAAGACAAAACAAGTTAATGGGAAGGAGTTGTAACCTAAGACATACAGGGACTAAGAAGCTGCTGCCAAAAAAAAAAAAAAAAGCACAGTCCACTGGAATTTTCTGAGATGATGGAAATGTTTCATCATGCATTGACCAATATGGTAGCCTTGTGAGTGAGCCTTTGAAATGTGAGTAATGTGGGGGATTCCCTGGCAGTCCAGTGGTTAGGATTCTGGGCTTTTACTGCCAAGGACCTGGGTTCGATCCTTAGTTTGAGAACTAAGGTCCCACAAGCTGTGCAGCCTCATCCCCCCAAAATGTGAGGAGTTGGATTTTCATTTTAACTTGAGTAGTCACATATAGCATGTGACTGCCTTCTTGGGTAGTATTAGAGAATATTGAGCAGTGTTTAAACAAATAATAGATAACTTATTACTAACTCAAATTTACATGAACAAATGCAACTGTTTCTAAGATGTTCCATGTCTGGAGTTGAAAATATTTAATTAGTGAGCCCCAGGCACTAACATTGAAGACTTCCTAGAACACTGAACATTACCTAGAACATCCCTTGACCTTAAATTGAATATTTCCCTGGCATAAGGACATCTGCAACCGCAAGCCTACTCTGTTGTGTAATCCACTCTTTTGGAAAAAATCCACCATTTTTCTTTCCATCTGTCCACCGTGTACTGGAGTGGTTCATAGACCTAATCATTGGAAAAGCGTATTGTTGAAAAATGCCAGGTTAAGAGCTGAATAATTTGTAAAAATTATTCTTTGTTAGGATAGAACAGTGACTGCATTCTTTGACCCTGTGCCTTGAGACTGTGTGTGTGATTCATGAGAAGCACCTGGCTGTACCATTGCAGGAATGTCCAAAGAAAAGTCTCTCCCAAAAGGACTTACTAACGTGGAGGGAGTTGATGACACAGATTGACCCAGACAAGCCCCAATAATGAATTGATGGTGTGACTATAAGACATGTTGAGGGTAGGAGGAAAGTTAACCTGTTGATTTCCAGCTTGGTCCCTGGTTAACAGCTTTACTAGTTTCCATCCAGACTTAGAATTCTTATATTGGACTTTGATGTATGGACATTTTTTGGGTTTAGGGGTTTTTTTGGCCTGTTTTGTCCCTGCCTTGAAGGATACTTGCTCCTTCAAGCAGAGTTAACAAGGTCATACTTCAAACACCCTGTTGGTCTTTCTGGGAGAAATCAGCCTAACCAGAGAGCTTGTAGTGGACCAGGTAGTCTGCTGAATAGCAGGCTAGAGCCAGCTGCCAGCCCAGCCTCACCCACAAAATTTCTCTCCCTGCTTGGAACCTGTGTTTTACTTTTTGTTAGTTTCCTGATCCAGCCAAACCTGACCTTTCCTCAAAATTTTATAGGCACTCTTCACAAAAGTTGTTGGGTAGCAGCAACTAGGTCATTCTCAGAAGTTGCTGGGGTTTAGTTGCCAGGAAGTTGTCTGCATAACTGCAGAAAATCCTGTGGTGGCCTGTACTGTCCTTCCCAGGTGCCCCATGTGGGACTGACCTTCCAACTACAGGTGTTTCAGCCCTGCCTTGGGCAGAGTAACAGCCTTTGACAGCATCCTCACTTTGTTTTCTCATGACACTTTGGGAGATGGATGACCTCAGTGTTTGCATTCCGTCTTAACCTGGGCATACAAACTTGGTCCATTCTGGTGGGGCCCTGCACCTACCTGGGTACATAACCAGGGCTCTGCTGTCTCCCCCCTCCACCTGGGATCAGGCACATGGCAGCACACCCCTGCAGTTGTGCTTTCTTGTCCTGTGTCCACCTGAGTGTAAGTATGGACATCTTCCTTCAAAATACTAACACCCCCAGCAGAGTTCCGCACTTAAGGATTCTGCAGTCTTCACACAAGGGACTCGAAGGTTTGTTTTCCATAAATCTCTGCAGAACTTGGAAAGCTCTGTCTTAGCTTTGGTGTATCTGGAGTCATTTTTCAACTTTTCCCACCAAGATGGCAGCCTCCTGC